CGCGCTATTATAACCTGCGTCGCCGGGAGTGGAACCCAAAAGTCGGCGAGCTGGTCCTCACCAAAGAACGTCATCTATCTAAGGCAGCAGAGGGGTTTGCGGCAAAACTAGCCCCTAAATATGCCGGCCCCTACCAGATACTCCGATACGTTTCCCCGGTCATCGTGGAGCTACGGAAGACCGACGACGGAAGGACAAGAACGGCGAACCTGGCCGACCTGAAGGCGTACAAGACGGCCGAATCACAACAACTTAGCAGCACGGAAAAGGAGGGAAAGAAACATAAAAGAAATTAAATTAGAGTTCTAACCCCAACGAAAAAAAAAGAGAGGGAAGGGAATTTAAAATAAAATAAATGAAGTTAGCAAGACCGTCACATCAGTGGAGACCGTCATTCGATCGTCAACTAGCGGACCAACCACACGTGCATAAACGAAAGAATTTTGTAAAAAGGTGAAAATCAATCAACCATGAACATGGAAGGATTAGACAAAGTGGAAAAGAGTGTGAAGCGCTTGCGTGAACGCATAGCCGAGGAAAACGCGAAGCGACCGCGGACCCAGATGCTTGGCGTGGGGCCGACCATAGGCCCACGGGATGCTGCCCGCGCACGCGCCGACGCCGCCGCGGCACTCACGCACGCTACTGGAGAGACGCGCAACCAGCAGCAAGCAATGGCGGCCCAGCTAGCCGCTAGGCGGACCGCCGTGGCACGCGCTGCCAGCAGACATGCCGTCACCATCCACGCGGAAACGACCCGCGCTCTGTCAGTGCACGCGATCGCCGCTAACGCAGCCGCAAGGTACGCGACCACAGCCAGCATGACGGCGGGCACCCACGCTGAAAATGCCGACACCGCACAGGCTACAACAGCACGCGCCGTCACAGCCCAAGCAACTGCACGACAGACCCTCGCCGCGCGCACGGCCGCCGTACACGCGACAGCGGCGTTCACCAACGCAGCGCGCGCCGCCGACGAAATCACCGGGCGCACCCTAGCCTCTTCCCCATCCTTCAGTCCTTCGGGGGACGACAGGTACAACACCGCCGGGGCAGCCGCCTTCTCGGTGAGGAGGGTAGCTTCAGATCACGACACTAGACACGGGAGCGGAATGGACACGGGCAAGACTGCGTCCACTGGTAGCCCGCCCAACGAAAGTACAACAAGCGACAGCGCATCGCACACCACCTCATCGGACACCAGCACGACCACCGATAGCCCAACAGGCGAGAGTCCCGCCAGCGACAGACCGGCTAACCAGGACACCGACATGGCGTTGGCCGAACACCTTGAAATCGAGCTATCCTCGGACGAGGAACAACCACCGCAGGCGTCGACGGGCCCGCGAGCAATTTTCCCGCCAGGACCAGGCGGAATAGCGCTGTATGAGGCCGACCTGCGGACACTGACAGGACCCTATTGGGTGACAGACACAGTCATCGATGCCTGGGCAAAGGGCCTGGAAGCCACGCTCAACATACGAGGTACCGTACTCAGCCCACTCGTTGTCTGGCAATTGAGAAAACCCGACAGGGGAGAGAATTATCAGCGCATCCACCGGTGGCTACGCCACACCGACCTTTTCGGCCAACGGGTTGTCCTCGCACCACACAATGTCTCGAACCATTGGTACCTGCTCGCCCTCGCCAACCAGGAGATGACCCACCACATAACAGATAGCGAGTGTTGGCACGACATCAACATTTGGGTGGCCGACTCCAGGAAAGTAGGAAGGGTGACACACGCGGTAGAGGAATGGCGAGAGTTTCTCCGGTGGGAATNGTCGTGGGACAACAGTGCGCTGACGTAGCAGAGCGCCGACATCGCACAGAAGCAGAGGGCCGGCATAGTAACGCCNCAGAGGGTGCTGAGATACGTCGGACGCGGAGAAGGAGGGCCGGGGTATATATCAGGCCCGTTCACGGCGACCATGGCGGCGCAAAAACGCGCGCACATGCTGAGGGTATTCCAGCAACCACCGGAGGCAGGNACGCCGACGTCACATACTAGCAGAGCGCCGACGTCGCCTGGTAGCAGGGCACCGACGGGTACAGAAGCAGAGCGCCGGCGTCGCACAGCGACAGAGTGGCGATACAGCAGCGCCGATAGAATAGCACCGTTAGGAATTTACGTCCCGTTAATGATATTATGTTTGTAATGTTAAGAATTTCCACGTGATAGAAAATAAGCAGCAATTAAATAAAGTACTATTTGCAAAGGCCCCACAATATAAATTNCGTCGCCCCCCCGAACACCAGCACCGACTGAAGCAGTATCACAACCACAATGGTCGTCAACCCCACCAATGGGACAAACGGTAATCCCCGCCCACGAAATCGACGGGNCTTATTGTAACGTACCCTGGGCACGGCGAGTATACCCCAGCATAGAAAACAGAAGCATCGGGGCCTTAACAGGAAAACGCTTCGTTACAAATTTAATTAGTTTAAACGATAATTTTACCATTCACTCGACCCTGTTCCTAGCAAAAGTAAGTAAAAATAAAAGTTTTTATTGCGGTATGACAATTTTTTAAATATAAACGTAATAGATAAAACCGTATTATAAAGCACTTGCACATCAACAGAAAAAAGATAGTCGCAAAACGAAAAGACGCGCAAAACTCAAACTGCTGTGGAAAAATAAAATAAGTTTTATAAAATATTTCATTTAAAATGAAGAAAAAAGTGCTTTCAATAACGCAATGACCAAGGAAAACGGATTTACGAATCCAATGTTAAAAATTGCTTCGACATCGCCAGTTCTCTTCCACGGAAGTCCTATTGCGCTGTGGATTTAATAGAAACAAAATTAAAAGATCCAGAACCACTTATATCATTAAAATAAAAGGTGTGTCTGAGGACGTAGCCAGCGTTATTAAACATTTATTTTCGGACGAGGATTTGCTGCAGTTTAACTGGGACGGAAGAAGGGAGAGAAAACCACTGAACAGACTTACACTGGTTGAAACAATTCTACGAGGTAATATGTGCGCATATTAGGGAAACTACAAGTTCTGACCATTTATTTTTTCTTTATTTATTTATAACTATATATATATATAAGCCTTTTTCACATACTTTATCGCAAGTTCTTAAATAAATGGTCAAAACTTATAAAGAAATAGTATCCCTAATTATGTGGCCACTACCGTACACATATGTACATATCTTATAACATCACAAATTTTTTGATAATATATTTCCTTCCACATAGATGCATTTAAAAGAAAGGTCCCGTTGAGTTCGAAACTGAAATCAAGAAGACAATTGAGCTCAGCCATCACCGTTTTCACCAAAAAATCTAAAAACACATCGGCTCGAAATGTATAATATTAAGATATTAGATTTAAGTATGTACATATGTACGCTGGTGGTAAAAATAATAAAAACGCCTTATTTTGCTTAATTTTTGGCCACATTTCCTTTGTTAATTCAATGTTTAATGTTCTGTACTTAGTGTAATATATTTAGCTTCTAATTTGATGTAATCTGTTTTTTGATGATTAATAATTAGTTCATAAAATTTTATGAAAATAAAAGAACAAGCATGTATTAATAATAATAATAATAGATTGGCGCTTACACATATCGCACCCTAAATACAAAAGGGTCACAACTCAAAATTTTCCAAAACTGAGTTTTTTGCATAAATTAATTCAGAGTACACATCTCTAACTACTGCAAAAATTTCGTTCACATAACTATCTTCTTTAACTGGAAAAATACAGTTATGTCTATTTTTATGTCAAGTGTGTTGCTTTTGCACGATCAACTAAAGAGAATTATTTTTAGTTGCGTTAATGTGCTCAAGAACAGCTGATTACTTTTATTACACATAAAGAGTTTTATTTTGAGTTCTGCCTCTATAACTGTAAAAAGTGATAAATTTCGTGGTATATTATTTTGCATTGTGCCTCTTTAGTTGTGAAAAGTGAGTTCAATTAACAGTATTATTTATTTATGTGCCTTCTTTGATTAAATAATCGTGAGCGTCGTAAGTTTTATAATTTTTTTTTATTTTAAAGTAGAAAAAAGAATTAAATGTTAATGATATTGGTATTAGTCTTTTGTTTGTTTACTTATTTTGCATGCCTTTTGTAAAATCTTAAATAATTTGCAATAAAAAATTTAATTTTTAGTTGTGACCCCTTTGATGAAAATGTCTTGCCCAAACCTTGAACATTACTCAAGCACAATGGAAACTGATTGTTCTTTGAGTTCGATTTCCACAAATAAAGCAAAAGGACATAAAGGAACTGGTGGATAAAAATCATATTCCAAAAAACTTGTATGAGTCATATTACAAATATTTATTTATTACATAGTTTCAATGGCATTTAAAAACGTAAACTTTTGAAGATTTTCTTTTTTAATATAGTGAACTATTTTGATTTCTACTTTGTGCTACTTTGATACATATGTGTTAATGAAATGAATAAAGCTTTATTTCAAAATAGAAATATTTAAATAAAAACATACATTTCATCACTCCTGTGAATTTTCTTATTATTCTTATTCTTCTATTCAGTCGGCGGTTAGGAAACTTATAAAATTAAAACATTTTATCAGTTAAAAAGGCACAACTTAAGATAATATCACTAGTTAATCGAAAAAATTTCAGTTAAAGAGTCATAAATCAAAATTTTGTTTTATTTTCGCAAACATAATATAAAATTGAAAAAAATATAGCAGAACCTTCTTCAATGTTGTATATTTTCATGATGGAACAATATTTTCTTTAAATATTACAATAATTTTTACATAAAACGTTTTTCGTCTCTCCTGAAAATCTTAGTATTTTGAGTTGTGACCCTTTTGTATTTAGGGTGCGATATGTTAGTGTTTGGCCGAGCTTCTTCTCCGATTTATGGCGTGCGCCTTGATGTCGTCACACAAAGCGGAGGCACCTACAGTTTTACGCCGACTCCGAACGGCGATTGTATTTTTATGAAAATCTGTTTTTGATGGCAGAAATACACTCGGAGGTTTGCCATTGCAAGTATTAAATGTGTCATAAATAATAGATTTCTATATCATGCGTGAGAGATCAGACTTTTTTTTTGGGTTTTGAGTTCGATGGCCGGTTTCCCAATGCCAGAGGGATATGCTTATTATATTAGTGTCGTGTTACACGAAGGTGTAACTTCACAGATAAAACGTAGTGTGCAGTAGCACTTGATGAGTGTTTATCTTGTTGATTGAGCCAATAGGTTGTTCAAACAGTAATTAGATAAGATATGTTGTGTTAATCCGTGTGGATGAACGTAGACATCAAGATGAGCGGATCCAGGTAGCGTATTAGATGAGATGGCTGTGCTGATAGTCCAGATTTTTCCAGCGAAATTAGTAGGTTTTGAGGGTATTCCTCCAATTTTCAGGCAATCGGTTTAGGTTATTTGGCATTTGCAATTTTATATAAAACGAGAAAAAAAGGAGGGAGGTGGACGATGTTAAGACACCTGTGCTAAGCTGAGAGTAGAGATAATTTAAAATTTAGCTTCAACTTTTGATAAGAATTCAGATAATTGAGTGATCTTGCGAAAATCGAGATTGCGAAAGATATCTACAAAATTTGAGTCTTCCCGAAGGACTTCGAAGCGCTCCCTAGTATTTGCATGAACACTGCAGTGGAAAATTTGATGTATATAGTTATCAATCATACCGCATGTACAAAGATTTTTGTTAATAGCTTTAATACGATATAGATATTCTGTGTCATAAGTGTACCCAGTGAGTATCCTATTTAGAATTTTAATATCTCTCGGATTAGCCTTATATTTTTTAAACCATGCTTTGTTTGTTTTATGAGAAAAAATTTCTCGAATACGTATTAGCTTATTATATGTGTAGAACTCATAAAAAAAAATTTGAAGCGCATAGAAAGTGTGACACCAAATTTGATGTCCGATACGAAAAAGAATGCCTCATATATATGTATTTCATTACTACAACGCATGACCAAAAAACTTCAAAATAAAAGTTACGAGCAACGAAAAAAAAATTTTCATTGAGAATAGCTCTTATCATGCAACGTAAAAAGAAAAAAGTCGAAAGCAAAAATTATGGGCACCGGAAAAAATTTTGTCTTAGGAATAACTCTTACCAGGCAAAGTAAAAACGAAAGCGTCGAAAATAAAAGTTATGAGCAACGGAAAACAGTTTGTCTTGAGAATAATTCTCACTGAGCGACGTAAAAGCAAAAAAGTCGAAATAAAAGTTATGACCAACGAAAAAATTTTAGTTTAGGGAATAACTATTATAAAGTGACATACAAGTTTTTTTAATGTCCTACGACCAACGTTTTCCATCTCAAAAAGAAATCATAACAGTTATTTAGGGTTGTTGTTGTTGTAGTGGCTACAACAACCCCGCCCAGATAGGCTAATATCTAATATCACTAACGGCAGCCCCAAGAAGCGTGCAGCCTCTATGGGGTCGGTCCATAGGGACGACGCCGTTAGGGTTGTGGGGTTTTCCGGGCATGCGAAGAGATGTTTCGAGTCGTGAGGGGTCTCTCCGCATGCCGGACATTCGTTCGGCAAACCCGCATTTAACCTACTCAGGAAGGAATTTAGCCTTCTGCAGTAGCCAGAGCGAAGTTGGGCTATTGTTGTCCTGGTCTCCCGAGGCAGATGGAGCTCCGTCGCGTCAATGTCCGGTGTTTGTGTGCCTAGAACGGCATTCTCAGGTCTTGAGTCTACATAACTCGAGACTGCGTCCCTGTGAATGCCGTTCAGGGCCTGTCTGTGAGCTGACGAGAGGAACCCCCTGTTTTATTTTCCTAAGTTTGCTCGATTTGTCTCTAAACATTACCGACGAGTGTCGACCACTTAGAGGCCACGAGTTATCTGAGTGTTTATGGCGTTAAGTGCTGTTGTTGTACTGTGCACTTTACGGAAACCATGCTGATGCTTCGCTGGGGTCAAGTGGTTTGTGAAGTACGGGAGTAGCAAGGCTTCGAGTGTCTTCGCTACCGGGGAAAGGAGTGTTATCGGACGATAAGAAACTCGTTTGTTGGCGGGTTTCCCCGGTTTGAGCAGTGGGACCACTCTCCCCACCTTCCAGATGTCTGGGATGATGAGAGTGGCCATGGACAAGTTGAGGACCTCCGTTAGGTACGCTACCCCCGCAGGACCCAAATTTTTCAGCATCAGCATGCATATTCCGTCGGGACCCATGGCTTTGGAGGCTTTCGCCTTCCCGATGGCCACCTGAACTTCACCGCAAGTGAAAGAAGGGGGGCACAGGTTGTTGGAAGTTTGTGCAGCCTTCTGGTCACTCGACGCTTGGCTTTGTCCACCGGAGGATGCAGTATGAACTGCCGGCTAAAATAGCTCGCGCATCGCTCCGGGTCCGACGATGCATGGTCGCCGAAAGAAATGACTCTGTCGTCGTGCTTCGTCGGATTGGACAGTGACCTCACGGTTGACCAAAGCTTACTCACACCAGAGGTGAAGTTGCAGGTCTTCAGATGCTCCTCCCACTTCTTCCGCTTATGTACATTTACTAGTTGCCGAATCTCCGCGTTGAGATCCCTGATACGGGGATCTCCGGGATCGGCCTGACGAAGGCTGTCACGCTGATCGGCTAGAACAGCCGCTTCAGCAGTGAAATTTGGGCGTGGGTCGGTGATGCATCCTGCTGGTACGAAGCGGGCTGCAGCAGCGGTGACAGCCCTGCGGAACTTACGTTCACCAAGGTGGACGTCGGTTGGTGTGGGGAAGGCAGCGAAGGAGTTTTCAGTAAATTCCGCGAAGCCTTTCCAATCAGCTTTTGAAAAGTTGATATATGTTCGGTGCTCCGCGGAAGCAAAGTCGGTTGGTTTATCGATCGAGATGACTATGTGCAGGTGGTCTGATACCAAGTCAGCATAGGTCGCCATGATATGCTGTTTATCAGACCAGCGCTGACTATTGTTATGTCTGGCGAGCTGCAGCAGCTGCCCATAATCCTGGTGGGTGCGTCGTCGTTCATTGTGCAGATTGTCGATTCGTCTATCTGCTCAGGCAAGTCGGTTCCGCTACGATCGTTTGACAGGCTTGAGTGCCAAAGGTCGTGGTGCGCATTAAAGTCGCCTACTACCATACGGTTTTCACCTCTGAGGAGCGCACCTATGTCAGAGTGATATTCTACCGGGCAGCAGGTGACAGGGGGTATATAAACGTTATATATTTCGATCTCAACATCGCCTGACCGGATAGCAATGCCCTGACATTCTAGGGTGATATCCCTGCGGTTGATGTCTGCTTCGATAAGACGATACTGCACGGTACGCTCGCGATCTCGACGCACGTTGTACCCGGCACAATTCAACAGTGTTGAATTGCTGTGCAACTTCGTCTCTTGGACCGCAGCTATCAATATGCCATGCCTTCCCATGAAGACTATCTCCTCGATCTTGCTCTGAAGCCCGTTACAGTTAAATTGAAGGAGCTTCATGTGGTTCGGGAGACGTGTGGTGATGCGGGGTGTGAGGGATGTGTGTGGTCGTGCCGCAGTTGGCTGCGTGCGCTGCTGAGGTGGTTGCCGCCCTGTGGTGGAGGCGTCGCAGTTGAGGTCTGCGACCGAGCAGCGCAGCACGGGCCCTCGAAGTTCCTCGTCCAATCTCGCGTGGTGCGCAGACCTAAGCATGCCCTAAAGTGGCACCAGCCAAGGCAAGTGTTGCACTTGACTGATGTCACATTACGGAATATCCTGGTCTGACATACCGTGCAGATTGTAGGAGGAACCAGGAGTTGTTGGCGGCGGCGTGTAGGTGGTGGTGTGGTTGTGTCTGTTGTGTGGTCTGTAGCCGTTGTGGTGTGGTCTATTGTGTTATGTTGTTGAGCTGTGGTGTTTGTGTGGGACTGCTCAGGTGGACTGGGGTTAGCCGTGGAGGCTGCTCTGTTAGAGCAACAGGGGGCCAAAAAAGACGTGGTCCACTGCCGATGTGTCCGTAGTCCTGAGCAGACTCTGAGGTGACTCCACCCCTCGCAAGCATTGCACTTGACAGAGGTGGAGTTGTGGTGTAGTCGTCTCTGGCATACACAGCAGGTGTAGGTTTCTGGCCCTGGGTTTGACTCGATGCCAGCCCTGAGTAGGAGAAAACGTAGCGAATGTAGCCCTATGGACGAACAACTTCTGAGATACTTCACCGACCTAAACGGGGTTATTTAGGGTCTCTGTTTTTCATATTAAGAGTGTTAGTTATCACATGTAAATTAGGCGAGGAAATGTCAGGTTATCAAAAGTATCTTTGAATTCGTTAAAAATTACGCTATAGCTAGAGTTGACATTTGGAGAATTGTAAATTGTTTCCTTAAAGGATTCGTCCGATAGTAAATTATTAACCAATTCTTTGGCTGTGAGCCATTTAGCTCTATCAGCCGGTGGCAGTTCGTTTGCTAAAGCATAAGTCTTCTTCTGAGGAAACTATTTTGATATGTCTGAATCTTTTTGTTTACAGCAGTTTTTTGTTTATTGCAGTACTCAATTTTGCTACGTACAACTGCTTTGTAGAAATTTAGGGCAACTTGAGGATGTAGACCGGCTTTGACAGTAGTAATACATTTGAATAGGTTGGAGTTCCTATGGGAATTTTTAATAGTATTTTTATAGTGCTCCTGGACAGATACTGACGCACTGATATGCTTGCCAAGAAATTTTATGCAATGTACTTGTTGAATGGCTAGATTTTGCCACTGAATATCAACTGTAGCTTGTTGGTTCCTGCATAGATACATGACTTTAGTTTTATCAACATTGAATGAGAGATTTAGACTATTACATATGACGGAGAATTCATTAATTTTTTTGGGTGGGATTTGCTCTAGCAAGATCAGCACTATCGTGATAGGACATGATGAGAAAGTCGTCGGCAAATTGGTACACTCTGGTGTTAGAATTCTGAATTGAATGAAGTTCCCTGGTATAGAGATTAAAAAGGCAAGGGATAAACTGCTACCCTGAGGTAGGCCATCATGAATAATAGTTGATTCTCTACCAAGCTGCAATTTTCTGAAAGAAAGGAAGTTTGTAATCCATTCAATATATGTGCTATGTATACCTGCCAGAGACATGATTTCTTTGAGTTTACGAACATTTACACAGTTATAAGCGTTGCTGATATCAGATGAGCAGAATATGATTCTGTATCCCTGTTTTTTTTAGAACCGCTGCATCATGTAGCTAATAATTGATACATGTCGTATCCGTCTTCCTCCTTCTATATGCAAAGGAAAGTTTAGGATACAATTCTTGTGCTTCAAGAAAGTTGGATAGTCTAGTTTTTATGCAGATGTTAATGCATTTGATAAACACAGATATAAGGGTAATTGGTCTAAAATTTGCGTAATTGGTTAAATCCTTATCTTTTTTGGGTATAGGGACAATTTTGATATTCCTCCACCTATCCGGAATTTGATTGGTTAAGAAAACATCATTAAGCGCAGTGCGGATATTATTTAAGGCTTCATCAGATAGGGATTGAAGCATTTTATAGGTAACCAGATCACAGCCACCGGCTGAAAGGCCTTTTTTAGCATGAATTACATTGTACAGTTCTTCAAGAGGAACTTGATTCTTTAGTAGAGTTAGAAAGTCCTTGTCATTAGCACAAGATCACTGGGAAGTATTTCTATTTTGGTAATCTCCTCTTAGGGCTTTTACAAATCTCCAAGCGTCTTTAGTCGACGGGGCGTCATTTAATTCATTAATTTTATTTTCAAAGCTTTTTTCGCTTCTTTGACTTTGTCTTTCCAGTCTTTTTTGCAGTCAATCAGTTCTTGAAAATTTTGTGGGGACGGCGTTGTTTTGCACTTTTTAAAAGCTATTTTTAAAAATCTGAAGGCTTTGTCAAGGGATTCGTTCCACCATGCTTTAGGGCTTCTGTTGGGGCTAAGAGTGTGAGTAGCTTCTACCATCTCGGCTTGAAATTTAGAATGTATATCATCAACATTCGGTTCAAAATTTATTTGTCGAAGATTGCTAATTAGCTTTTTTTGGAGAGAAATCTGTGACCTACTATAGTAATGTTAGCTGATTCAATAACTATAAGAAATGGTGACTTCCACCCAATCTGATTGGGTCAGTCTTCCATTGGAAAGGAATGGAACTGTTTGTAAAGCTTAGATCAAGAACAGAGCCATTGGAAGCTAGAAGGTCATTTTTGAATGTACGAGAACCATCATTCAAATGCGAGAAGTTGTGTTCTTCCATGATGTTTTGGAGATTACTCCCACGACAGGAAGAGACACAATCTCCCCATACTAGCATTAAAGTCGCCCAGGATCAACACATTTTCATAGTTTTCGAGAAAGCCCAGAAGTTTATTTATTTCACTTTTAAAGTCAGCAATAGGTATATTTGGCTGAAAGTAAACAGCGCATATCACTAGATTAGGGTTTATATTTTTGGTGCGAACTATAAGTATGTCAAAATTGGATAAAAGGTTTACTTTTTGATATTTTATGTGTTTTTTAAGAACAATGGCCACCCCACGACATCCGTCGTCTCTATTTTTCTCTATAATATTATAATTTATGATGTTTCTGTAGTGAGGTTCGTTAGAACTGAATATTTCACTAAGACACGCTACGTCGAAGTCATATTTGTTCAAATAATATTCAATTGTGTTTATATTAGCTTTAAGGGATTGACAGTTGTATTGTAAAATTTTCATGGTCATCTATCAAAGGAGTTATTAATACTTTTTGTCACTATTTCTACCTCTTCTTGAATCATATGCTGGTAAAATTTTTCCTTTAGCGATTGAATTTTGTTAGTAACTTCGCCTAGTTGGTTATTTACACAAGCAGTTTGTATGATGCTGAAAAGATCAGTAAGAAGCTTTTCCATTTCGGTTACTTTGTTTTTAAGATATTCTGGCCTGTTAAAAACGGCTTCTCTTGCAACTTTGGTTCTGTTTTCTCTACTATTTCCTTGCATTGATTTGGTTGGTTTATCATTTTTCTGTGTAATCAGCTTTTTAGCCATAGTGCTATTTGACTCGATTGAGATTTTTATTAGTTACTAAATCACGGTTTTGAACCTCATCACAATTATTTCCAGTGAGTTTTGGGAATTCGGAATCTTCTACCGGAAGAAGGTCGAAACGATTTTGACTTCCCGCAAAATATGTTTGTATTGTTTCCCACCGCGATATGTTTTTCACCGTTCTAATATAATTTATATTACGTTCTTTTTCCCATACCATGCAATTTACTTTATCTGAGGATTCGTGTTCTACACTGCCGCATAGAATGCACTTTTTGTTGCAAGAGTTGCTGTCACAGGCCACTAAACCACATTTGATGCACCGTTTTTTGGATTTACATGAGAAGCGGGTATGTCCTAACCTCCCACAGTTCATACACTGTCTGAGGGGTGGTATGTAAAAATCAACATTTAATTTAGTATGGTTAAAAATTATATATTTTGGAATCTCTTTGCCAGAAAAACCAATTTTGATGATGGTAGTAGGAATGTAAGAATCATTTTCTGGGTTTCTACGCGTGAAGCCTCTAACCATAGATATGGGTACGCTGGATATGGCATAAGCCTTAATCTCACCGTCCTCACACCATGTTGGAATCCCCTCACTACTCCATAAGTTTCAAGCGCTGTTTTCGGAACAAAGGCTCTTAGACCCTTGCCCTTGATTTTTCCATCTAAGACAAAGTTGTTTGCCGCAGCAGCATTTTTAAAAGTGACTTTACTTTTACCAATTGCATAAATCAAATCAAGATCTTTTATTCTCAGGTGTTTTATACTATTAAAAAGGGTTAAACCATTGGTGATTTTTTCATTGTACATATCATTGCATTTAGATGAGTCCAAATAAACGCCAGAAAAATTTTCAGGGTAAGGAGTTAACTCTTCATTTAAGTTTGTACTGTTGTTTGTAGCCTCTACTGTATCAATAGTCATGATGGCCTTTTCATTAGCATTCGTCCGATTGTCTGCTACCTCCACTGTATCAGTGGTCGTCGTTAAGCGTTCATTGGAAACTGTACTAATATTCGGCACCGTCACTGTATCCCTACCGTTTTCTGACGCCACTAACGAAATATCCGTAGCCGCCAGACTCCCGTTATCGCACTGCATGTCCATTTCGTTTTCACTACTGTTGTCTGACCTAACCTCACTTGTTACACTCATGTTTGTTAGATTAATTAAATCATTCTTTTTAAGGTATTTAGCTAGCTTAGACTCGGTGACCGACTTTAGAGTTGACGACGCCATGACAGCTGGGGGTCTTTTTGCTGCCGTTCGTGGCAGAGTTTTAATTTTTACACTCTATACACAAAACTTGACTTCACCTTCACTACTCGAAACACAAGAACACGCACCTGACTCCCGCTTTGTCACAGAACTTGGTGTCCACTATCCAAATTTAGCTTTTTAATAAGTTATTTTCCAATTATTTGACGCCAAAAATGAGGCAGTCCAAAAGGAAACGTGTATTGCCACAGGGCTGTTTGCTGTACTACGTCACAGTACAGCAGCTTGCAAAACAGAAAAGAATATTCTACTGTATGCACCTATGTGTGCAAGTGCGCAAAACAAAATGTTCACAAGGTTGCTAAATCACGCCAAACACGTCCACCACCACTCGTAGATGAAAAATGAATGAAAAAGAGGAGAGATCAGACTTGACGAATTTTTACATCAACTGTGAGTAATCAACAATGATATGAAAACATGTCAGACTTGATGTGTCACGATTGATTGGTTATTCCATCAAATTTGATTGCACATTGCTGACTTATATTTCTATCAAGGTTGATCTCTCATAATTTTCGAAGATTTACATCACTGATGATTAAAATTTGAATGCCGAACTCAAAGGGAGTAAGCAGTCTAGCAATATGCCAAAACGTATTTGTTAGAAGGAGATGAAGCATCACATGTACACAAAAGTTTCCATCAGATTTTTCACACTGCCCTTTAGAATTTGATAGAAACTTCCCTGCAAGAACAGTGACTATCATTTGACAAATCATTTGAGTAGCAAGACTGATAGAGATTTCTGTCACTGGCCACCTACAAGTTTCTATCAAATTCTAAAGGGCAGTGTTAAAAATCTGATGGAAACTTTTGTGTACGTGTGATGCTTCATCTTCTGACATATACGTTTTGTCATATTGCTAGACTGCTTACTCCCTTTGAGTTCGGCATTCAAATTTTAATCATCAGAGATGTAAATCTTCGAAAATTATGAGAGATCAACCTTCATAGAAATATAAGTCAGCAATGTGCAATCAAATTTGATGTAATAACCGATCAATCATTACACATCAAGTCTGGCATGTTTTCATATCATTGTTGATTACTCAGTTGATGTAAAAATTCGTCAAGTCTGATCTCTCACGCATGATATAGAAATCTATCATTTATGACACATTTAATACTTGTTTCATCTTTTATTTTTATAAAATCTTATGAACTTCTTATTAATCATAAAAAAATTAGAAGCTAAGTACATTACATCGAATTAGAAGCTAAATATATTACACTAAGTATAGTACATTAAACATTGAATAATGAATGCGACAGGATGCCTCCTGATGACGCCTCAACACCACCTTCACGACGAGGCCCAGATGCTCCCAGTAAATGAGAATAACATAATGCTCTGCAAGCAGTTTCTCGCTGGGAGCCACAGACGTGGATTTTTGAGAATCATCGTATGTACAGCAATTAGAAAGTGAAATATGTATTCTACAATATAATTTATTACCATGGCTTATGCATCCTCTGGATCTTTTAATTTTGTCTCTATTAAATCCACAGCACAATAGGACTGCAGTGGTAGAGAACTGGCGATGTCGATAAAATTTTTTAATATTGGATTCGTAAAACAGTTTTTCTTGCTCATGGCGCCATTAAGAGCTCTTTTCTTCAATTCAAATTAAATATTTTATAAAACTTATCTTTATTTTTCCACAGCACTTTGAATTTTGAGCATCTTTTCGTTTTGCATCTTTCTTTTTTCTGTTGATGTACGCATTTGAACTTCTTCAGTACCAAGTACTTTATAATACGGTTTTATTTATATATAAAAAAAAATGTCATACCCCAATAAAAACTCTTACTTTTACTTACTTTTGCTATGAGAGGGTCGAATAATGATAAAATTATCGTTTAAACTAATTAAGTTCAAAATTATATCCAAGTACTTTAGTACTCGACATAATTTGGCAGGTACAACTACTTTTGTTGAGCACCAAATGCAGCCCTAGTGAATCTTGCGGTTACTATGGTAACCAACAACAGTTACTTCTATCAGCATTGCCACTCACTTGTCGCACTCCGGACAGCGACAGGATGCCTCCTGATGACACCAGACCACCACCTCCACGATGAGGCAAAAATGCTCCCAATTAGGTAGCACAACACGATGCTCTGCAAGCAGTTTCTTGTTGGGAGCCACAGATGTGGCCACCCAAATAGACAGCTGCTTGCAGAGGAGCCCTGCCGAGGCACGTCAGGAGGCATCTATATGAACTGACGGACGAAGTCCAGAGGTTTATTAAGGAACCTCTGGACCCGTCAGCTCATAGGCAGGCCCGGAACGGCATTCACAGGGACGCAGTCTCGAGTTATGAAGACCTGTGAATGCCGTTCTAGGCACACAAACACCGGACATCGAAATGACGGAGCTCCATCTGCCTCGGGAGATCAGAACGACAATAGCCCAACTTCGCTCTGGCTACTGCAGCAGGCTAAATTCCTACCTGTCTAGGTTAAATGCGGATGTGCCGGACGAATGTCCGGCATGCGGAGAGACCCCACACGACTCGAAACATCTCTTCGCATGCCCGGAAAACCCCACAACCCTAACGGCGTCGTCCCTATGGACTGACCCCATTGAGGCTGCACGCTTCTTGGGGCTGCCGTTAGTGAAACTCGACGACAACGACTGAGATATCAGTCGATCTGGGTGGGGTTGTTGTAGCCACTACAACAACAACAACTTGATCGATCAAATGACAGTCATTCGCTACAGGGCCAAAGTGACATATACAATTTTGCATGTGTTAGTTTTCGTTGTGAATGTGTTATAGTTTCTGTCAATCGCGTCTTGTAGGGTTGTAGGTAGCCAGTGACAGAAATCTCTATCAGTCTAGCTTCTCAAATGATTTGTCAAATGATAGTCACTGTTCTTGCAGGGGAAGGTAGGTAGAGGTGGCTGCCCCCTTAGCGGCATACTTAGGCCATAGATATTTCTTAGTTCATTTTTATTCAGTCTATGATTTACCATCTTACAGACTAGAAGTAGGCTTAAAAGTATTAACGGTGACTAGTATATGTACAATTACCAAAATAGGTTTCAAGAGATGATTTAAAAAGACTTCTTGGAAGCGAAAAGTCGATATCTAAGCTCTTTGAGATATTGTTAAATTCCACAAGGCCTCGAAAAATAGGCGCAAAAGATGAGTAGTTAGTCTTAACTGCAGGAACGTAAAAGGGGATGTGAGAGCGAAGAGTTCTGAGAGGCACATTAAAGGTAACCTGCTCAAGAAGAGATGGGCAGTCAATGGAGCCAGAGATAAGATCGAAGACGAATAAGAGTAATTGGGTGCGCCTTCTATTTTCCAATGATAGCATATTTATTAGTTTACACCAGGAGTAATATGGGGGAATCGGATCTGAGAAGTTAAGAGAAGCGAGGGCAAATCGAATAAACGCCTTTTGAACTCGCTCAATCCTAGAGGCGGGACAATTATAAATAGGGCTCCATATAATAGAGGCATACTCAAGTTTAGATCGTACTAAGGAATTAAATAATGCTTTCCGAGTGTAAGGGTCTCTAAAATCCTTGGCATATCTACGAATAAATGCTAAATTACTATAAACTTTTGGGAGTAAATGACAAACATGATTTATAAATGAAAAATTCGAGTCAAACACAACACCAAGATCAACAAATTCACTAACAGAAGTAAGCTGATGGTTTACGAGGTAGTAATTTGTAGTAAGGGTATTTTGAGATTTAGATAAGGTCATCTTAAAGCACTTTTTTACATTCAAGGACAGTTTATTACATTCACACCAATTTAAAAGACGATCTAAATCTTCCTGAAGAAAGAGAACATCAGATGAGGAGGTTATTCTACGAAAGAGTTTTAAATCATCGGCATACAATAAAAAACTGGCGTGTTTGAAACAGGAGCTAATATCGTTTATAAACAGGACAAACAATAGGGGGCCAAGAATGCTACCCTGGGGTACACCTGATGTTACAACAAAGGGATTAGATTTACAATCATCGATATGAACAGACAGAGTCCTATTTGTAAGGTAAGACTTTAGCCAAGCTAGGAAATTAGAATGAACACCAATGCACTCCAACTTGTGTAGCAATAATAGGTGTGGTACCTTATCGAAGGCTTTAGAAAAGTCCGTATAAATGGTGTCTACCTGCGAGCCATCTTTGAAGGAAGAAACACAAAATTCTGAAAAAGAAGCTAAATTAGTGACCGTTGAACGACCAGCTACAAAACCATGTTGGTGGGGCTCAATCATTCTTTTGGCAAGAAAAGAGAGTTTAAAATGTATTACTTTTCCGAATAGCTTTGAGCAGACAGACAGTTTCGAAATAGGCCTATAATTTGTGATATCGTTTCTATTTCCAGATTTAAAGACTGGGGTTAGAGACGCAATTTTCCATCTGTTAATAAATAATCCAGTCGAAAGAGATAGGTTGAATATATGACATAAAGGAATACATTATGACAGACTACATCGTTCAACGAAGTAGGCACAAAAGCCATCAGAATCACATTTCAATGTCGGAGTTAGGGTAGACATGGCGTGAGTAATGTCAGATGTCGAGACAATCAACGAGCCAAGATCTAGGCGTTGGGTCGGCCAGTAATTTCGTGGTAGATTTATAGAATCACTCTCACAGGCGAAATTCGAGCTGAAAAATTTTGCAAAAAGTTCCACAGTATCTGGTAGAGATTTCGATGATTGACCGTTAAAGTACATGCAAGTCNTCACAGTATCTGGTAGAAATTTCGATGATTGACCGTTAAAGTACATGCAAGTCGGAATATTAGAACTACCCCGCTTAGAGCGTAGGAAATTCCAAAAAGCTTTTGGGTTGTCTTTAAGTTCAGACTCAAGTCTCCTAATGTACTGGTTATAAAGAAATTTATCAAGAACATTAAACTGTTTCGCATAGTTAAGGTATTGCTCTTTGAGATAAGTATTGTGAATAGAAGGCCCATTGTGTTACCACAGTTGACACCGTTCAATTATCCTCCCCATTGAACCTATTGTAACCCTGCTAATAGTAAAATGATCTAGTGTAACTCTGCTATTAGTAAAACAGCAAGTTGGCTGCGATTTATTTTTATCTTGTTAATTAGACATATATATATACCGACGTGTGGAAGTTTTTCCGCTTTGCAATAAAATAGCAAGTATACAAAATAAGGCGCTTCTAATTTCTACAATAGATTGGCGACGAGTGTAAAAAGGAAATTCGACATTAACATGGACGGCGCCCAATTTACGGAATTTTTAGCGATGCAACAGCAATTATTGGGTGAAATCCTGAAACTAAAATCAAACGCAAGCGCAGCGTGCACTACACGGGCGACAGCCCCCATTGTTCCGAATTTCGACATGATCGATTCGTCGAAGGAATCTTTCAAAAATTATATTCAACGATTCGGAAACTACATCGAAATGAAAACTATTAAAGCAGATAAAGAATATTGTAAAAAACTTCTGCTGAATTCAATAGGAGCAAAAGCTTTCAATATGGTTACGGCATTAACAGCACCGGATACTCCGGGCGACATAACCTATGAAGAATTAGTGCGAATTCTTAAAGAACATTTGTCACCGAAAACGAATGTGTTAGTTGCACAACATCGTTTTCTATCAAAATTTCAACGTGAAGGGCAATCCGTAACTGAGTACGTGGCATCCTTAC